TGGTTTCCAGACCAACACCATTGAATTGCCCTTATTACCAGACATGTACCTGTTATCTGTGCTCATGGTTTCCAGACCAACACCATTGAATTGCCCTTATTACCAGACATGTACCTGTTATCTGTGCTCATGGTTTCCAGACCAACACCATTGAATTGCCCTTATTACCAGACATGTACCTGTTATCTTTGCCCATGTTTCCAAACCAGTACCGTTGAATTGCCCTTTTTACCAGATATGTACCAACTAATGCTTTGCTTACATTTCCAGACCAGTACCAATAAAATTGCCCATATCACCAGACCTGCACCTGTTATCTTTACTCACATTTTCAGACCAGTACCATAGAATTGAACCCATTACCAGATATGTACCAGTTAATTCTTTGCTCGCATTTCCAGACCAGTACCAATGAAATTGCCCATATTACAAGACGTGCATCTGTTGTCTATGCTCCAGTTTCCAGACCAGTACTAACCATTGAAATGCTCATATATAGTACTCAAACTGTACCAGCTATCCATTCCCAGACCTGTACCAGAGTAAAAATGCCCTTATTACTTGACCTGCCCAAGCCATCCTTACTCCAACAGACCAGTACCAGTGAATCTGTACAAGGAAACATCACTTGTTTAAATTGCTATGTTACATACAATACTGTCATACCAATTAACATTGCCCTTGCTACTAGGCCTTTACTATACAGTAATCCCACTACCCATATTTTCAGACCCAACAGTCAGAAAACAATACCTACAATACCATTACCATCCAGACTTTATGCATAAACCTACCAACCAACACACTTCTACAAGGTTGCGCACGTTACCAACTGATGAACTTTATCATGAAAACGGCAACGGCTAATGGAAGAGATTGAAATACTCAACTAAAATTTTGTCCAGACTTGTCAGAACAAGATTGATGAATCATGGCAAAAACTGGTGGAAACTATAACTAAAGATAGAATATGCTTTCCTACTCTCGTCAAGACAACTTTCTTGAATTTCCAATGTTTAATCAGGATTCCAATCCAGTTRACAAAGAAATAAAGTGCACACTATGCCAGAATCAGGCATAAACACTTGCACTAAATGCAATATGAATCAAATAATTGAAAGTATGCAAGTCTAACCATGAAAATACAACATAACGTAGTATTATCAAACTACAGGATTGCTAAGATGCACAAACTGAAATGAATAAACTCTTTATCAAATCAAAATATTCTCATCTTTTTATCCATCAATAATTAAAAGATTATATAAATATTACAATTTAATATTAAATATAAATATAATAAGCGCATTAAATTTGTGGTTTATAGAATGGCTTTACGCATTTTAGTTTAGTTTACATTTTATTAAACTAAAGGTTTATGGTTTAAAACACTCCACTCATTTTAGTTTACCTTGTTTATAATTAATGAAGGTCTGATGGTTGTGATGGAAAAAAGCGAGCAAATTTTAATTCAATAAAGAGTTCGAATCATTTCCCAGCACATCCAAAAAGCCTTTTCCTAGAATTTCCAAAAACTGATCTATCTTCCATTTCCTTACTCCACGTACCATTTGATAAATGGTTAGATTGCCGATACACCTTGGCAACAACAGCTCACTTAGTACATCTCTAAAAAGAGAAGTTTGAATGAAAAGGCAAATAAAACTCCAGCCCACCAATGAATAATGGCACAAAAGGTCCCTTACAAACATACTGTATTTCTTGAATACAGTCTTCTACTCATCATCTAATTGTGCTGCTTAGAGATTGATCACCATAATTTGTTCACAGCTTACAAGAAATATCTGTGGAATGTCTCAAGCTTTGAAGACAGTTTCCTAGACCCAATATATACCTGGGTCCAAAACAACTCAAATCACTTTGGTTGAGCTCATCTTTGCAGCAAATGCTGCCAATCAAAGGAGCATATTGAATAAATATGGTCAAAACACAGGGCATGTTCATGCCCTACGGCCTGCACCTTCAAAACTGAACAGACCTCAAACAGCTGCATGTACCATCTCGATAGTAGAATAGAATTGAATCACTTCAAAAATTAACAATTTTAAGATGTGATTTCCAGACTCAATGGAAATTAAGAATTTTGACAGAACAAATTAAAGACCACCTATGAAGTGCACATTAAAAGATTATTGCACATTAAAAGATGTCCGGTCAGTGCACCTTAACCACTGGATCTTTTGATCATCWATTGTACCACACCTCCAAGGAAAATGAAGATGTAACAGCTTTTTATACATCTTTCAACACCTTTTCTATAAGGCTGTTGTTCCAACTACCAAATCCTGGATCAACCACCAAATCCAGATTCAACACTTTACTACTTTTTAATGAAAATATGTCTTCAAATGGTTACAAACGTCATTGTATAACAGAAATATAATCATACAGAACTTCATGTCAACCCCGACCACGCATATTCATTAACAACAATGCTAGTCCACCTCACCTTCCAGCAGAGAGAGCCATGCACCCATTTGACAAAAAGTGGTGTAGTGTTATCAGATCRTTGATCCCATCTAATCCTGGATCATCACTTACCATGACCATGACCATAATTTTGACACTACACGGCTGTTGGCGAACACATTTTCCAAAATCCAACATGTAACAGCAACTAATTGATGCCAGTTCCGATCCTGGAACTTGACATCTGAGAAGCCAGTCTCAATTACCTTTTTTGTCCATTACAGAGATTAAGTTCCCTTTGGACCAAAATGCAAACAGGTCTCCATGTTCTCAGCCATTAGTCGTTTCCCCTTTCTATTACCTGTATGTAGTCSTTCTGTTGCAAAAGCCTCAGTCAATAATTATCCATAAATATACCTGAAAAACCTGTGGAGAATAATGCACTTCATTGCCAATTAGTGTAGTTTTTAGTACAATAAACAATTACATTTTCTTCCAATTGCATGTCAATTTTCAATAATTATATTTATCTTTATGACATTGTTGGAGCAATTTTGTTATGCAATATCAATTTTCCGTTAAATTGTAACAGTGATCCATAGTGGTCATTTTCCATTTAACCATTTCAATACTTTTCCTTTGAACAATAATAAATTTCATTGTGATTCCTGAGCATTTTTACTAATAAAATATACTATACTTGCCATTAAATGTATAGTGTTGTCTGTCCCCAAGAAAAGCATCCCAAATCTGAAAAACCATTGGAAAAAATGTTGCAGTATTTAGAAATAGACTCTTCGTTAAACTTTCTTCCTGTTCGCAATTGAACATTTAATCCATCGTTTCAATGATTTTGTGTTTTCCATTTTTCATCYTCTGGTATGAATAAACAATGGTTACCTCTTTGGTATATATTGTGACATCATTTAACAAAATGTTTCTTTCAGTTTCAGATTTATTGCAAACTTGTAATCACAAATTGAATATCACTATGTGATTAAATATCTGATGCGAATAAGCATGATAGATTTTTCTTTGGCACATATTATTGACGTTATCATTCAACAAATTTCTTATTCTTTCATTTTCAAATTTATAGCTCAGCTCTAAAACATGATATCAAATAAAWATGATACGGAATACTACCACTGCTAATCCAACCTTACCTCTTGGATGTGTACCTAGTATATTAATAGTGAATTAAGACAAACACAAATCAGCAAAAAAAGTAC